TCTAATTATGTTTCCAACAATTTTTAGTTTGAGCATTTTAGGAATTTCTTTGTTTCGTTTAAATCAAATATTCTCGTGTATAAAACCCTCTATATATTTTTATTTCCTAAAAATACTATATTCGTATTGTTGTCTGCGAGCGCTTTCACACCAGTAGGCCAACATCTGTGTTGATTTTTTGACCTGAGCCTTCGGAGACAATAAATTTAATGTGTGTTCGTAGTTCTCTGGTTTTTATTCTGAACTATCCCTTGGCAAACCAAAATTTATTTTTTTATTGCTTCACTTTACGAGAGCTCCGGCGGACACGTCGGTGTCGGCTTACTCAAAGTCAAATTAATACTATTATGTAATAACTAATAATAATTACAAAGCAATAGTAATTACCTGTTATTATTCTTAGGAAATCTAAATAAACTTATTCCTTTTCCTGTCACAGATGAACATCCACGAAAAGCACAACAATAACCAGAAGACATTTTAAATACTTATAAAAAAAACTTTTAACTATAAACTATAACTATAAACTTATATATTTTAACTATAACTATAAACTATAACTATAAACTTTTAACTACTAAATAATTAGATAAATGGTCAAATGCACTTGTATCAGACTTGTATAGTCGAGAGTTTACCACAGATGCCTACGGACTATCGTAAGCAACTTAAAGTTGAAGAAAACGCACGTGTTTTTGACAGTAAAGCACCTTATTTGGGTCATGCGTATACAGAAAAGAGACACGAATTCCGGGCCTCGTGTCGCTTCTCTGTGTTCGTATGTTCTCTGGTAATATATCTAAAAATAATAGCAATCTGATCTTGACGAAGGACATCAGCAGTTTTGTCTGCAATCACAGCAAGAGGCTACCAATTTTTTCCTTCTAAATATCCTTTGCAATTTTGACGGAATGTAAAATATCATTTTAAATGTAGTTTTCAAAAAACAATTTTTTTTATTACTTTTGTCAGTTTCAACGTGACCATAAAGAGATATTCCACCTTTTACTAGAACTTTAATAATTTTATTAATTACTTTCTTCATATAATCTAATTTTTTGTCGCTGCTTCTCTCTGGCTTTCAGTTCAGCCTCTTTTTTGGATTGAATTTAAAGATCTACGGACTTATTCGCGTTTTAACTTTTCGAAGTTTCTCTGCTAAATTCATGGTAACTTGTATTTTGGTGTTTTTTAAAATTGTTCTATAGCTTTATTCCATGATGAAAATCCACTAGAAATAAACGTATTCTTTATCAATCCAGTCTTAGTATTGTCGTTCATGTCAAAGCATCGGCACCAAAAACATAAAGCTGCATTTTTTGTTGAGTATATTCCAACCATTTAAATCATAAATAAGTCAACAATAAAAACTTTTAAAATTATAAATATTTGAGATGTCCCGTATTAGGTATAGTAAGTTTTCTAAAATTTATCTAAAAATTTATTAAAATTCCTCTGGTAAATGCTGATCAATAAGTCCCCTTTGATCAACCATTGTATAATCACATATTAACAATCAACAACATCGATGATATAATGTTAGTCTACTAACTGCTCAGGTCTGTTGGTATGAAGGTCAGTTTCACCACCCTTTTCAAAAAACTTAGTTAATCTGTATAAAACATTTATTCTGCTGACATTATAAATTATATAAACCGTTTTTGTTTGATTTCAACTAAGAATTAGTACCAGCAACCTTGATTTGAGTCGCCGTGACCACAAACCTTAACAAGGCGTGAAGTTTAGTACGACACACAGTGTGAACTTTCATACATTTTAATTTGAACGGGTACTTCTTGATCAGTTCCGGAGTTTTCTAAGTAAATATGCTTATTTAATGCGGTTTGGTCAGTTGGCTAATAATGAAATTTTAATGAGACCTTGGCAATAATAACTTTGCGGATTGTGTATTGATTTAATAGAGAAACAATAAATTGTGTTGAAAGTGATTAACTGTTTTTAATTATTCAGTTATTGAGACACAAAATTATATAACGGGATGTTCAATTTGTAGTACAACAATTATCTCAATCGTGCCATCTACTTATTACCGTTATAAGTAAAAACTGAGGTATCTGTGATGCAGAAAAACGGGGATAAAAACTAATATAAAAAGATAATCTTATATTGCATTATATATATTGTCATACTTTTTCTTTTCTAACCAAAGAAACATAAATAAAACAATCCATCGAAATAAAATTTCAAGATATCAATATAAACAAATTGTATATAGTAATTTAAGATAAGATTTAGTGTAGATAAAAATAGAAATTTGTTTGGCAAACGACCTTTTTCCGTTTCAAACAAAATTATCAAAAAACCTTTGTTTAGAATTAGAAGACATTTTACCTGTAAGTTAATCTTTTCATTGTTTGTATAGTCGAGTATTAAATGACCATATTTTAATCTTTTGAAATATGTATAAATGATGTATTGAAAAAAAAAAACAATTTTAAAGTAAGCTATTTAGTTTTCTCTGAAACCGAAATTAGGCTTTTCCAAAATCATGGTAAACACAATTTAAGCTTTTTGATTGGACGGTCGTTTTTAAATGGGAATTTGGTGAGTCGATCATGAGAGAGGAGAAGTTAGTCATATTTTGGTCATCGAAAGGAAACAGTCGTTTGTCTCAAGATAGGGTGTGGTTCGTGAGTTTGGATAACGGCGTAACGAAAAGAAGTGAATAGTTTGAAGAAGGAGATAACAAGTGGATTAAAAGAGGTCCTTGTATCTACCGTGAGCATTTTATAAAGTCTATGTGAAAGTATTCTTACGGCAGCAAGTTGACAAAAGGAGGTCCTGGTGTCATAAATAAGTAGCGGAGTTTGGAGAAGTAAATCAGGTGTTTTTTGTGTAGTCTGAAGGAGGTTTGCAGATACGTAAAGAAGGAGCCGAGGTGCCAAAGAGGGGAGATCACATATTTGATAAAACTGGACTTTTCTGGGTATGTTCCAACATACAACTCATGAAGAAAATAAACTGTAAGTGTTTGTACAATTGAATTTTATATCTGTGAAGGATCGTTTCGACATCATGGTCATTATCATTAAAATTTAAGAACTGAGGTTTTGTTAGGCTAATCAAAAGTTTAAAGTTTTGTGGTTTATAACGTTTTAAAGATAACGACAGAATTTAATAATTGTTTTATTCGTTCATATAAAATAAAGAAACGTAAATCTTTGTAATATAATATATTTGTATTCTTATCCTTTTCTTCTCTATCCCGATAAAAGACAACTAGAAAATCTTTTGAATCCATCGAACACAGGTAATATAAGGATTATTTTACTTTTGATAACAAATAAGTTATAATTCTTTTTTATTGGCTCAATAAACTAAGAGTACGCCTATGTGTTGAACTCAAAATAAACAATCATAACAATATATATATATATATATATATATATATATATATATATATATATATATATATATATATATATATATATATATATATGTCGAATTCCGCAGAAAATATCCACTTTTTTAATGCCAAAAACATTGATTTAGGAGAGTCGTCAAAGATTTGACCTTTAATCCTCTAAAATTCATAAGAATAAGCTGAATTTTGCTGAAAATGTCAATTTTAAGACACTCTGATTAAAAGATATCAAAATTTCAACATCGTTTGATTTAAATTTTATTTAAAATTGATTTCGCTCTTATTCGGTTTCCGAATAAGAGTTTCACCTTATGCATGACTCGCCGCCTTGTCACAAGACCAAAACTGTCACAAAATTCCTTGCTGACCACCAGATAAAGGTGCTCGACTGGCCTGGAAATTCGCCAGATCTGAATCCAATAGAAAATCTTTGGAAGCTCATACTGAAAGAAATTTATAATGAAATTATAACCACAAAGCATCAATTGATCGAGCACTTAATAACAGTATGGCGCAGGAGTGGAACAATTCCACAAAATTGCCAGAAATTTATAGAAAGTATGCAAGTATGCTAGGCAGTCATTTCTGCAAAGGGTGACACTACCAATTATTAGGCTTAAGATATAATCTTAAGTGTTTTATAGCTCAATCAATATGGCTATCCTAACTTTGCTTGCTGCTATTCTGAATAGTCCGGTTGTCGATGTATTAAACCACTTTCTCAGGTTTTGAAGCCAAGATATTCTTCTTCTCTCTAGTCCTCTCTTTCCAAATACCTTGCCCTGAAGAATGAGTTGCAACAAGCCATATCTCTGTTCATTCCTCATAACATGGCCAAGATATTCTAGTTTGCGCTCTTTGATGGTGTTAATAATCTCGCATTCCTTGCCTATTCTACGTAGGACCTCAACATTAGTCACACGATCCACCTATGAAATTCTTAAGATACGTCTGTAACACCACATCTCGAATGCCTCGAGTTTTCTTAAGGAAGCTTCGGAAAGTGTCCAGGCCTCTACTCCGTATAATAAGGTAGAAAATACACAGCATCTAATGAGAGAGATTTTGGTAGCAAGTGGTAAATCATGACTTCTGAAAAGAGACTTTATCATTATGAACGCTGATCTCGCTTTTCCTATGCGTTGTTTTATTTCACTGGAGTGATCCCATTGGCTGTTAATGTTGGTACCAAGGTATGTCTAGCTGTCCACTCTGTCGATTGGATGTTGGTTAACGAAAAGCTGTGTATTTAAGCCAGTAGATAGTTAGATTTAAAACTCAAGTCGAAGATGACTTGAGGAATCTAGGGGTCAGAAATTGGAAAGCCAGGGCGAAAGATGGGGGGAAAGGGACATTAATTCTTGAACAGGCAAAGAACCAGACAGGGTTGTAGAGTCAAAGATGATGATGAGAAGTCGTATTCCATCTGTTTTGAGAAGCTCTGCCAGTGTTCCCTCTTTATTTGTCTAACTAAAGTATTCGTTTCATTTCTGATTTGTTTATAGTGGTTGTTGTTTCTAGTTTATTTATCCTAACATCTGGGGTTGCATTTTTTGCCATCCATAACGTATCGAAAGAAAAAATAAAAACAAGAAAGTGGAAGGAAAGATGAAAGTCATAATATTTTTTTATTTATAATAAAACATTTTTGCATAAAATATAATCTTACATACTAATTCAGTCGAACACTTAGGGACATCACAGCTAATGGCACTTTTTTACTATATAATAGTATTATAACATTTATCTATATAATAATAGAAAATATATTTTTTTAAATAAGAACCTCTTAAAATCTTGATGGTAATCCGAATATCTCTGGTGTAAAATGTTCAAATGATTCTAGAACTTGCGTAGCTTTGCTTCTAATAGGATGGTCTGGATGTAGATCTGGATTTGGTACCATAACAACTTGCATACCTGCGTTCAGAGCAGCTTGTACTCCGTTGGGGGAATCTTCGAAAACGAGACACTAAAACAAAGATTTTACTATATTTTTGATGACATATCCTAATCTTAAAGTTTACTACTATTTTAAAGGCAGGCATGATCTTAAACTAACAACTGGGATCACTAGCTTATTCTATCTATAGACTAAAAATACTATTCTATCTGTTCTACTATTTAGAGATACTAAAAATCCGAAAATGGCAACAAGTCAGCAGAAACCCAACAGAATGGCGACGAATTCAAGAGCAGGCCATTATCTATAGATGATTGTCAAACCAGCCATGATGATGATGATATTAAACTAGCAACTGGAATCACTAGCTTGAAATATTATTTTTATCCAAAAAGCGATGAAGGATACTATCAAATAAAGAATATTATAACCTTGAAAACAATAGAAAGAATGTAAATCCTCAAATTTAGATGCTTTTGTTTGCTATAGGATTTAAAAGAAGAGACGCTAACGATCATACTGAAATGCGAAAATATCAGAATATTATGTAAATAAACTGGACAAACTCTGTTAAAAATAAAGAGATCTCTCTCTTCAATCATGACCCCCCAAGGAGAGTGTAGTGGTCGACGTGATGTCGTGTATTGTCCGCCTCCAGAGATCTCTGTCTCTGGTCATTTCTTTTAATTCATGCATAGGTCTTTGGCATATTCCTGTAATTCGATCTACCCATCTTGTTGGAGATCTTCCTCGTGATCTTCGGCCTTCTACCTTTCCTTGTATTATGAGTCTTTCCATGTTTTCTGTGTTTGCTCTCATAACATGCCCAAAATATTTTAATTGTTGGAGATGGACTTTACTAGAGAGTCGTTGGCTAACTTTTAGCTCTCTTAAAATTGAATTATTTGTTCTACGGTTGGTCCAAAGAATTCGTAACATTCGTCTCCAACAGAACATTTCAGTGGCGTCTATCTTTCTTCTCTCCGATTGTCTCAGAGTCCAAGATTCACATCCATAGGTCAGTATTGGGAATATTAAGCAGTTGATCAACCTCATCTTTATCGCTCTTGAAATTTGACAGTCCTTCCATATTTTGGTCATTTTTGCTGTGGCAACTTTTGCTAGATCACATCTACGTTTAATATCTTCTTGTAATGACCCTGTGTTTGTGATTAATGGTCCCAGATATAAGTATGAGCTCACAACCCCGAACCGGTCAATTGTGGTTATGTGTGGATGATTGTTGTGTAGTCTATCCACTATCATGATCTTTGTCTTTGATATGTTTAATTGCAGACCAAATATTTGACTTTCGTTTTTGATCAGTCGTATAAGTTCAATCAGCTCTGCTTGACTATTTGCAAGAAGGGCTATGTCATCTGCGAAACGTAGGTTGTTTAGTTTATGACCATTTATTGAGATGCCCTTTTCCCATCCATCAAGTCATCATCATCATTGGCTTTTACAACTCTTCTTGAGTTTTTGTCGCGTTTACTATTGCCTTCCATTGATTCCGATCCTGTGCTATTATTTCCCATGGCCTTACTTCCATCTTCTCCAGGTCTTCCCTGACTTCGTCTTTCCACCTTTTTCTAGGCCTTCCTGTCGATCTTTTACCATCTGGTCTTTCCCAAAACACATTGCTGATCAGTCTGTCGTCATCACCCCGTACCACGTGGCCTGCCCATCTTAATCTATTGGCTTTTATGTATCTTACGATGTTTCCTTTCCCGAAGAAAGTCTCTATTTCATTGTTGTATCTGCTCCTCCATTCATTTGTCACGCTGTCCCTGCAAGGACCATATATAATTCGCAGGATTTTGCGTTCCCATACTAATAGCTTATTGATTTCTTTCTTTCTCAATGTCCATGTTTCACTTCCATATGTCACTGCTGGTCGTATTATGGTTTTGTACATTTGGATTTTGGCACGCCTTGAGAGAAGCTTTGACCTCATTAGATGTTGAATGGCAAATAATGATTTATTCCCCACCAGTATTCGTATTTCAACCTCCCGTTATCCTGTGTTTTTACTGGTAAACTCATTTCATCCTTCAAGTGCTCTTCGCATAATATACTCCCCATAAATGTTGAATAATTGTAGAGATAGTATACATCCTTGTCTGACACCCCGTTCTGGTTGAAACTCGTTCGAAAGTGTGTCAAGTACTTTAACTGATCCAGTAGTGTGTTCATATAGTTCTGTTATAAACGTAATTAGATGTTGTGGTATTCAGCAGGTGTTCTCGAGTGCCTCTACCTTGGTAAATCCAGTTTGCTCTTGTGGAATTTCTCTTTGAAGGAATGTTTTCAGTCTTTCATTGATTATATATAGCATTATCTTGCTGGCATGGGATATAAGAGAGATAGTTCTATAATTGTCGCATTTATGGAAGCTGTCTTTTTTATGTATGGTCGTTATTGTAGATTTTGTCCAGTCTTCAGGCCATTGTTTGGAATGCCATATTTGGTTACAGAGTAGATGAAGTAACTTTACGCCGATTTCTTCTGTGGCTTTTAGCATTTCTGCTGTTATCATATCTGGACCTGGTGCTTTGTTATATTTGAGCATGTTGATAGCCTGTCTTACTTAATTTTCGAGTATATCAGGTTCTTCTTCCACCTCGTCAGAGATTTGGCTAACAAGCTCTTGGCGTTGATCATCTTTAAAAATAGACAAAAAGAAGATAAAAACATATTCTTTATACCATGGAATTATAAACATAACATTCTATTTAAAATAAAACAGAATTATTACATAGCAAAAAGTAAAGGTTAGAATAAGATCAAGAAGATCAAAAATTAAAGAAATTGGCCATCAAAACTATTATTTGAATTTTTTAGAGTTGTAGTGAAAAATTAAGCAAGTCTTATTAATAAACCAACTCTCTACAAGGATTTGGTACTAAACAAAGAGGATCTCTTTTTCCTAAGTGATATACATTTTGCTTACTCGATATATTATTTTCTGTTTCTCATCTCTTTTTGTTAGTTATTTTCTTCATCAAGTTATTTCGTAATTAAAGCCTTGTATAAATCTTGTCACTAATTTTTTTTCTTGATTTTTGTGTGACCTTTCATCCCTTCGAATAATTAATAATCTTTTAAACTCATTGGTAAAGTGTTTTTTTTTATAAACGTGAGGAGAGCTTACTATCAGAAAATCCAGTATTACATAAAAAAAATATAGTGAAATGAAAAAGAAGAATTAGTTTGTTATGGTTATGGTAGATCGGGGCATGGGCTATTTAAGACCTCTCAGACACTAAGACCTCCGAAGACGGGCCCATTGTATCACCCGTATCATATGGAAGAGGCCCATAAAGACCTAGTATTCGGCGTTTCTGGGGCCCAAGCTGGCCGGGCTCCTTCAATAATCAGCAGGAGCTCCAGTTCTGAGCCTTTGGTGCCGTTCTGAACGTCTAATCTTTCATAAGTCTCTTTAAGGGTAATTCCCTCCTTTGACGCAGTTGCATAGCGACCAAACCCAAGATCTACTACTTCCAGAGGACATCCATTACAAAGACAGCACCGTGGATTTGCTGCCAATCCAAGCAGATTAAGGTGCCGCCTAAGACTACATTGGCTGGTAAGCACACTGACCACCAGAGAGCACCTTCTATGGTCTAGAAGAAGAATTTGGGCTGTTAGACTATTAAATGGCCCACTACGTAGAGCCTAGCCTGTCTCATATCTCCACAAGTATCCCAGGAGTCCTGGAGCCTCTGAAGAAGAAGCTCTTAGAGAATACCCCGACCAGCACTGAAGGGCACTCCAATCACAGGTTCAGGTTCCACCGGCAGAGTAAATGTGTCCTGTATTGCCAGGGCGTCAGCTTGTTCGTTCCCTTCGACGCATGTGTGTCCCGGTACCCATACCAAGTTAACCCTATTGGTTCGAGCAACATAAGCAAGTGCTCTCTTGCAATTAAGAACCAGCTTAGAGCTGACTTTGGGCGCTTCTAAAGCTCTTACGGCTGCTTGACTGTCAGAGCAGATAGAGATGGTCCTGCCTGGGCAAGCCCTATCTATTATCACCTAAACACATATCAGTATCGCAAATATCTCGGCCTGAAAGACTCATGCATGGAAGCCAGGTTAAAATCCAATTTTGCTCCCATATACTCCAGCTCCTGCCCGTTAGTCTATTCTGGACCCACCCGCGAACCATGTGATCCCGCTTTGACGGATTAGTGCAGGTTCTCGTTCCATCCACTCATACCAGTCAGGAAATTTAACCAAGAAGGAGGATGAGAACTCAACTTGCCATGCTATCCTGTATCATAAAAAGCACAGGACAACATCGAGGGCCTGTCTCCAGATGTCACAAAGGCAAGATAAAGATTAAAAAAAAAGTTTTCCACGGTCAATAACAGTGGAGTTAAGTAGGTAATTTGTTTAAATTGCAGTAGAGGTTGCGATGGTTGGGCTGCCGAAGAAAACTTCACTTTTACTCTGATGTCGTTTAGCTGGAGAACGGTTGGTTGGATCGTAACGTATGAAGGGTCTTGGGAAAGAAAGTAGATCAAAATATAAATAATAAACGATTGAATTTAGAGAGTGAAGACCTTAAGATTATATTGCCTAAACGGCTTAACATACAGGACCGTGCCATATGTCCTATGACAGGATTTAGCGAATAAAATACGATAGTAAGAAAAAATCAAACACAACGGCATACAAAGGAGCTTTAGATACGTATATTTGTTACTATCGGGCCAATCATGGCATCTAAGCTATTATATGGCAAGATTTATCATAATACTTTCATAATATTGTACTAATTTTACCATAAAACGTTGATTTTATACAATAAAAACAAAAACAACCAAAAAACACCGCTTTTTACACCCAAAAAGTGCCAACAAAACAGGTTGAAGTTGCACGCACTTGGACGTTAATTCAGGCGTTGCCTTTCATAACGCTGCGATGGTTTCAAAAATTCAATAATTAGTGCTTAAAACCATTGATTTTTGTCCTTACAGCTTTAACTATATATTACCTGTGAGGGATGTGGTTTATCTGGAAATCGTGATGCACACACTAAGAATATATCTGGAGCAGGCTTGTTGTTTTTAACTTCTGGGTCTGAACTGCCACAAACGACGTGACGAAACAGATTGATTAAATCCCTGTGAGGTTTTGTCTTCATTTTCATTATTGGCTGAAACAATTAAAACAATATTAGGAATACAGTATAAGCACAATTAGTTTACTCGATATAAAGGAATAGATTTATCATCATTATTGTCATTACACAGCCTGTAGTGTCGATTTCTGGACATAAATCGCCCTCCGTTGTCTCTAGTGCTACCAATTGGAGGTCTTCTTTTATCTGCACATGCCTGAAATCTAGGTTGCTACTCTAGTGCATGTTTAGTCTACATAGCGCTTGTCATTCTTGCTACGTTTTGGTCCAGTGTCACTTTATATGTAGCTTTCTTCATCATCTATAATCCAGCAATTGGAGACCCCGTTCAGATTCTCTTAATGATATTTGCAACTCTATCTCTTAGCGTTAATTACAATATCGACCGCTGCATGATTTTTTCAGCTGCGCTGAATATTTTCACAGATTTAAGCTACACACGCAATTTCTGTACTCTGTTGCTGCTAGTGCCCAAGTGTATCATATGCTCAATATTTTATAGCTAATTTTAAAAAGTACCTTAATTGAGGCAGAATTTAGTGTACCTAACAATTCTTGGGCTTTTTAAAGACTGTCTGAAATCTGCGCGATATCATCAGCAAAGCATATCCGAAGAAAGACATTCTTATACTATACATACATTTAATTAAGTATCAATAACTATCGATGTATGTATATAAACCCGTTAAAATAAAAATTACATATTCTAAATTTTGGTCTAGATATAATAACCGCAAACTTACCTCCCTGGAAGATGTAGCAATAGCAATAGGAACATCATGTTTGTGTAAAAGTTTCACAACATCTTTAACACCAGGCAATAGCGCAGGCCTCTGTAATTCTATCCATACTTTATCTTCATATTTCTTTAGAAATTCTTCCGGAGTGAGTGGCAAATTTAGCTCTCTTACTATTATTCGACAGGTTTCAAATTCAGGGGTGCCCATAACTTTTGATTTCAGATCTTTTGTGTATGTTTTGCCGTATTCCCGACAAATGTCTGCAGAGATCTTTTCGTATATTGATTCTGATTCTAAAACATAAAACGGTTATTTAAATATGATAAATTTAATCAATTTCTACTAATTATTTAAACGTTAATTATTTCGTGGTAGTCAAAGGTCCGTTCCCCCCCTCATATTTTTGGAAAGGATATATTTATAATTATCAATTATATTTCTAATAATTGGTTTTTATTCAAACATAACAAAACATATTAAAAGTATTAATAACTTACCAATTATAACCCCATCCAAATCAAACAAAACGTGCGTAACTGGGAAAGCTCGTGGTTGAGAACAACCGTCATCACCACGGATTTTATCGTCGTCGAAAGTCATTTTTATATCAGAGGGAATTTTTCGGTTATCGCAGATTCCTTTCCACGTTCTCGATCGATTTATCTACAGACGTGAACGATGATGGCCCTTTGGAGATTGATAGCTTTCAATACCTGGAAAGGGAAACATAAGGTTGAGTTACAAAATCTATGTCACATAAAAATCTCGATAGGCGCATCGGTTAGCTCGGTTCAATTCTGAGAGACAGGTTAAAATGCCACGTGGGTATTTTACTTATTTAACAAATACCTATGTAAATGTATATATATATATATATATATATATATATATATATATATATATATAATGTCCATAAATATTGATACAAATGTAAACACGGCTTGTACAAACTGAACGTAGCGAAGTTATGTTGACATTACTGACTGCTGACATGTACTCCTGACACATTACCCAGATAGAGCTAGAATTATCTAAGCATAAGTAGTGGATAAAGCTATATACTTGTGATTATTTCGTTGTATTCTGGATTTATCAAGATAATACTATATTATCCTATTCAAATAAATAACCGTTTCTAATTTGGAGTGAATATAATTTTTATCTCGGAATATTTTTAGAAATAGAGGTAATTTCTTCTTCAATTTTTTTGGATAAATAATAATTGGTTTGTAGCATGGACGTATAAACACAGATGGACTCAGTTATTTACATAAAATTGTGAAGTCAAAATTATTTGAATAGGTCACATTCTCAGCACCTTCAGCTGTTGTCAAGTTTTGTTTTAAAATTTCTTATTCGCGAGTCGCTGAAAATATTACTCCGTATTTTATACCTACTCTACAGGTGCTATCAAACCAAAATAATAATTTATTGGTTAGATTAATATATTTAATTGTAATCAAAATATAAAGTGTGCAAATAGTGTGCATTATCATTTAATAATAACGTATAATTTAGATATCAATCAATTATTTTATATGTAGAAGTACTGAAAACTATTTATAAATGGCAACGGTTGTTTACATTTCTCTGTCTTATGGATCTACGTCAAACTTCAAATGCTGTTCCATGTTTGTTTACTTTTTAGTAAAAGTTGTTTTTCGATATTTTGGCTGTATTTTGAGTGATATTTGGGAAAAGTGAAATAAAATAAACGAAATATTTACATCCCGATAAAATTTACATTATAGGTATAAGATGAGGAAATGAGGAAGCGTGTTTGTTTACATTTTAATAGGCGTACCATTGGGTTTATTCATATTCATTAATGTATTAAATAAGATATAACTTCATGAAATTAGTAGGCATTTTTAAATTGTAAGTAGACATCATCTGATTAAAAAAGATCTATTTAGTACCTTTTTAATTTAATATTTCTCATGGATGCAAATAAATTAGTGAAATGAATAAAACTCATTTATTTTTCTATGTAGGTTTCCAAATAATATTGACGATCGAACTATTTTGGTATCAAATTTAGGAGAAAACATAAAGATTTTTTATTGTAGCATTATTTTGATACCTATTAAAAATTAATTTGAATTCAACTATATTTTATTATATTAATTTTATAGTAAATAAAATTGTATTTTAATTTTTCTATAAAGACGTGATTTGTTAATAGTTAAACTCTCGTTTTTTTTAAATTTTTTGAACGTGTTTTTTATACATTATTACTACTTCCATTTTTTAAAATCTGAATAATTACCCGCGAGTAATAATTCAAGCACGCTTAAGCTCATTGCGGAAGCATCACATTCTATCGAAGCTTCAAAACATTGTGTGTTAAAGGTATATTATTGCTGTGTCCATCTATGTTTATACGTCTATGGTTTGTAGTGATAAGCAGTATTTAATATACAACAAAATTTTGAAATGTCAAAAATAACGAGAATGACTTTAAGTACAATTAAAAAAAAATTAGGTCATCACAAAATATGGTCGTTATAAAACAACCAAAATTAATACAAAGTATGGCATCCATCTTAATTTATTACGCCTCTACATCTATCGTTCATAAACAAAATGAGATTGTCGAGATTATGTTGGAATACGTTTGCCTATTTCAGACGCTCTCAGAAACGAAATGACATGTATATGTTACCCCTATGTGGAGTAGTTCTTCGTTGAAGCATATCCATATACCTAATGTTCGTTGGGATTCAAATCAGGGGATTGTGCTGGTCAAGGCTACACATCAATACCTTCGTTAAAAGCTAGTATGTCACTAGGCATGCGACATATGGACGAGCATTATCATGTATGAGGTGGAAATTTTGACCAACAAATGGAGGAAAAATAGGTTGATGAATGGTGTCGAGGTGCTACTGAGCTGTAAGGAAGTAGCCTGGAAAAACGAAGTCTATTTTGCCACCGATTAATACTCCATCCCATATCATTACTGTACCTGTATGTGCAATCTAACTCAATCGTTCTACATTTCCAGATCGTCTCCACACTCTTACTCGACGAAAATTTGGATGAAATCCAAATTTAGATTTGTCAGAGAATAAAACTGTACTTAGTCCAATCATTTGCATCCCAGTTTTGATATTCTTGACACCAGTCTAATATTGCAGCGCGATTGCCTCTGGAAATAGGTGGACATTTCAATAGCCATCGATTACCTAGTGTAACCGCTGCAACTCGCTAACCAATTCAGATACTGTAATTGTTAGTTGTCCTCTAGCGGTTAACACTAAAAATCGGTCTTGAGCTGCAGTTGTAGCGAGCAAACATCCTGGATGATGTTTGACTGAACTTCCTGTGTCATAAAAATGCTGCCACAATAGACTTATAACATTTTGGGAGATTCCCATGCTCTCAGCTAGGAGAAAGGGTGGAGAGATGAACCAGGAGGTTCATCTCTCCACCCTTTATCCTAGTTTATATCCATAATGTCTAGTTTTTACTTATACCAAAACAAATACCAATGTTAAGTTATGTTATACAATTTTTTTTATTCTAATGTTTATTTAATAAAGAAACAGTCTTTAGTTTTCTAAAAGGTGGACCATCTCTCCTCCCTTTACCTTCCATTAGTTTGACACATGCCACATTGAAAAAGGCCTACAGCCCTATTTATCTCATTTAAAGTTAAATGACGACGTTCCATGATAAAAAACAATATTTACAATGCACTAATTAAAAAAGAACTTTATAGCAGGAACAAAATCGAGACTACCAGAATATAATAATAATATTACAGTGCTTTTCAGATAAAACTATCCACCTTAAATAACTTTTGAACCTCTAATTTTTTGGAAAAACGCAAAAACACTTTAATTAATATCTGAAGGGGGAGTCATAATATCATATTTAAGGTTGCTGGAAAATGCACCCTCTCACCCCCTGTATCAACCCATTATTTTTTTAAAATTGTTTCTCCCTTTTTTTATTTTATATTTGGATTCTCCTTTTTGTACTGATTTCAGAAATGTATAATACATGATAATTGAAGTGATTAGTTTATGAGAAAAGTAAATACAAAAGCAAGAAAATTGGATTGAAAAAAAATTATTTTTTAACAATTTTATTACACACATTTAGAACAAACATTTCACTACTAAAAATTGTTACAATAATTGTTCAAAATGACTGCCTTTCACTTCCATACAATAGTACAATCTATTTTGAAATTCTTCTCTGATATTGCTTAACACGTCTGCATTTAATTGTCGACATTCATCCTCTATTCTTTGTTGTAAATCATCTAGATATTCTGATTGAGTAACATAATTTTTGTTTTTAAATACTCTCATAAGAAGAAGTCTAGGGGTGTTCAATCCGGTGACCTAAGTGGCCAATCGATCATCTGTCGTCTTTTACCTATCCAAGCACCGGGAAACGTTTCGTTTAAAAATTATCGCACAGGTAAAGCAAAGTATGGAGAAGCTCCATCATGTTGAAATGCAATCAAATCATCGGAAAGGTTATCATCATTTGCTACTATTGTTCTAACGATCAACCACTTGTCTATATAATTCAAGATACGATGCACCATTTAAGTTTCCAATGATAAAGAAGGGTCCGATAATGTGATTACGTAGGATACCACACCTTTGAGGATGCTGTGTGTAAAATTCGCGTACAATATGTGGATCACTTTCAGCCCAGTATCGGCAATTATATCTGTTCACCAAACCGTTTAATGAGAATGAGATTTCATCCGAGAAAAAAATATTGTTTAACAATTGTGGATTATTAATGATGCATTTTATCATTAAGTCGCAACATTCGGGACGACGATCAAAATCTTCTTCATTTAACTCTTGTACTAATTTAATTTTATATGGATAAAACTTAAATTTATGGAGGACTCGGAAGGCTGTAGAAGATGAAACACCGATTGCTCTGCTTATTGTTGACAGTGACTGTGATTGTTAAGAGTCTAAGTTAACTTGCCCTAAAACAGCTACTTGGATTGCTTTTTTATTTACAAGTTCCTGTCGGTTATGTTTTTTATTGCAAACTGACCCTCTTGATCTAATTTTTTCTGCATCAGTTCAATCACACACTTATGAGTTGCATGTCTATTGTGGTGTGTTTCATTAAAAATTCTAGCAGCAGCTCTTGCACAATTATTATTTTTGTAGTATAAACCTACAATTTCGACTCTTTCTTGCAAAGTGTACACCATTTCAGCGATAAAATTGCACACTTATCAAAATAAGCTGTTACTTACAAGTTATAACAAATTGTCGCTATTAACCGATTAAAACAAATGTAAAAATGATATCGAAAACCTTTGATAAAACTTGAATAAAAAGTGAATTTTTTTGTTTCTTGGTTTTTAAAGGTACTACAAATAGTACGGTTAAATATAAAGATACGGTTATATATATATATATATATATATATATATATATATATATATATATATATATATATATATACGGTTAAAGAGTTTAAATTATGCTACAACCTATTTTGTTAGAGTCAATTAAAGTAAGGGAGATACTATCTTGTTAACAGGAAAGTTGTCTATCTGATAAACTAATCACTTCAAGCCAAAGGTATTATACATTTTTGAAATCAAAACAAAAAGGAGAATCCAAATATAAAACAAAAAAAAGGGGGAAGTAATTTAAAAAAAATAAAGGGTTGATCCAGGGGGTGAGAGGGTGCATTTTCCAGCAACGTTTAATATGAT